AAAATAAGGAAGAAATTCCTAGATTCGAAAATCATAAACCTTTACAAATAAATAGGGTTTCGATTGTGAAATATGCAACAGTTGTAAATGTGACAGATTTCTTAAAAAAATGCAATTAAAATTAAAAAAATGAAAGAAATTCCTAGATTTGTAAATTGAAATTTTTTATAAATCATTCTTTTCGTTTATCATAAACGATACAATTATCAAAAATTATTCAAATTAAAGACAAATATATAGGTTTTCCAATGTGAAATATGAAACACTTGTAAATATTACAGATTTCTTAGAATTTGCAGAGAAAATTGCAAGGAATATTTGTAACTAATTATCCACCATGAAAAGATTATCCAATTAATTTCAACCGCGAACTTAAGTTTACTCAATGTTCACATTGATGAAAACAAATTGTGAATAAAAATTATACGACATAAAAATAATGAAAAGTTTTATTACCATATCATCCAACTTTTGTTCATCCCACAACAACGTTCATTCATTTCCGAAAATTTTAACGAAATTCATTAAAAAATATTCAAAAATTTCAATAGAAATTGTATTACATTACATTCCAAATTTATTAACACCAAGTTTCATAACTTCATGAAATTGAAACAAGATTTCGTTACGACATTTTATTAGAATTTAGTTTCATCATCATTTTTGTTTGTTTATCAAAATTAAGGAAAATTCACTTTTATTACTTGTTTTTTTTTAGAGATTTATTGAAAATAAGTAAATTTAATAAAATCTTTCAGATTTTACAAACTATCAATAAATTTTATCAAAAAAAATTTTTTTTTTCTCCAAATAAACTTCATATCGCATTTCATATTGCAGTAAACATGAACACGTTTAACATAGTTCATTAAAACTGTAAAAATATGTTTGTTTTGATGCAATTACTGCAATGCACAACGTTATGACATGATTTTTTTTTAATTTAATTGTTTCATTTTTATATAATTGACGAATATTTTTTATACAAAAATAGTTTATATTAGTATAATTACAATTTACAAATAAATTGAAATTTAAGGAGATGGGTGAGTAAATTTTACAGTTGTTTTCTCTTTATTGAAAATAATTATTTTATTTTTGTAGCTTCTAAGATCAAATCGAAGGATCATAATTATTTGTTGGTGGAGTACGTGGAAAACTCGAGAACTTATTATAGAATCGCCAGATCCTGCGACCTCGTCAGCTGCAGCAGATTCTCACTGGACCAACGGCTTCATTTCCAATTTGAGGACGATCTGACTAAAATCTGCAACGTAATTATTACATCGAGTTAGTTAAGAAAAACCATTGTTATTGTTCTGTAAATGAATACAACAACAAACAACAAACCTTAACACGTTTCAGATGACGTGGATTATCTCAACGACGAATTGGCCAATATCTTGGAAGATTGTGAAAATCTGAACAACAACAATAACAACAACAACAACAAAATGAAACAGTTCAAATCATGCGATGCCTTGAATACAAGTATACGAGATGAAACTCAGTTCAAATCCGGCTTAAGTATGATCAATTTGAAGAAACCTCGCGCCCCCAAAACCGTGTCCAACAATCTTTTCAAGAGTTTGGACGAGCTCAAAAATTCGATGTCCAGATTGACGCAGTTGGATGAAAACGCACATCCAAATAAACCGTTCGTTTTCGGACCGAACGGAACGGAAATATCCGCGCGATGCTTCAGTCGCGTCACGTGGAGTTGCCACAAATCGGCGACGCGCACTTTACTCAAGGCCTGTTTCAGCGATCAAATGTTGGCAAATCATTGTTCGCCAGGAAGAAAGGATGCGATGCGGCAGAAACCGCAGTTGAACGCGAGGAAACTCGAGGATATAATCGCTGTTGTCACCGAGAGATGTTACGCGAGTAAAGCTGATGTACTCGAAGTGATCTCGAATCTGTGCAGATACGAACACACGAAGATGAAAAGGCACTTGGAAAGTTCACCGTTCAAGTTCAGTTTGTAAATTGATATAAACGCATTTCAATTCAATTCAACTTTCAACTTTCCTTATGATCGATAACAAATTATATACATAAATTTTCAATAGATTATCAAAATTATGTTGTTTTTTCTTCCCCTCTCGGATCAATTATTATAAAGTAATTGTGATTTGAAAATTTGCTTTAAAACATTACATAATATCAACAATTCATGCAATAATTAGATATTTAGGGGGAGAAAAACAAGATATTTTTTTAATAATATCGACGAACTTGGCTATTCTGTATTTCGTCTTGGTCAAATGATTCACGTACTTCACCAGCATGTATCTTTCACCTTTAATTATAATAGCTACAAAACCAGTCGAAATTTAATCGAAATCTCTACAAATGAAGAAAAAGAAACTAAACTCACGCATTTCTGTTATTATTTAACTATGAAACATTATGATCGAGTTTTAATTTCTTAAATAAATATAAAAATAATACTTTTATTTTATATATGAAAAAAGTGTTTCTTTTCCTTTTTTAAAATATATTTCATTAAAGTAAATTATTGTCCATTATGCAAACATATTTTTATGTTTGCATTGTATAATTTGCTTTAATATCGGCGGTATTGATGTATACTACACTATTTTTCAGTCTCGACTATCTTTAAAGCAAAACTTGATACAAAAAAATAGTTTATTTTTCACTACAAAAACCATGAAAGATTAAAAAATTCCTCTTAGATTTCTAACGTTTCAATTAATTCCGCTTATTAAGTAACATTTAATACGTAAAATTACAATTTGATTGTTGTTTTTCCAAATATATAATTTTTCTCATTTACAAATAATTTTTCGAAATTTTTGTTTGTAATAGTAATATTAATTATTCTCCTATCTACAAACAGATAAAATGAACGATCTGATTGATTGATGATGGAATAATTTTACGAAATTATATGAATTTTGTTGAATATATTTTTTCATTAACGAATAATTATTTCAAACCAAAGCTTAAATAAGCATACGTTTAGTCTTTCTAAACCAATTACACATATTTTGCTTGCATTCTTATTTCAGAAAACGAAATTTAGTTTTTGAACTTTTTCATTTTTACAAATCTTTTAATTACTAATATCAATTATTCTCTTACCTCAAAACACTTACAATGAGTTTGCTGCAATAAAATTATTTTTTTCTATTATGTTTTTTCGTGTATAATTTTTCATACCCGAATCATTATTTTAAAGAAAAGTTTGAATAAGCAATTATTTAGTCTTCGTAAACGGATTACATATAGAATTTACACGGTTTCTTCAATTTGAGACAAATATGCCTTGTTGCATGGAAAAGTAAGATGCGCATGCGTAAGGGTATTAACTACAACCTAACTTTATGTATAAAAGGGTCAAGTTTTTTTAAGTCAACATTCAAAGTTTTGTGTTTGCACCGCTCACATCTTCTCTTACTTTTCGTTTCATACCAAACAAAAAAAAAACTCAACTTGAAAAATGGGTAAGTCAACTTTCAAATTTCATATACGTTTATGTTACTAATTAGTGAATTTCTTGATTGCAGCTCCAGTTAAAACTTCAACTCCAACTCACATGTTGGTGAAATGCACCACAACTACTAGTTCTTCATATAAAATCATTAAATATCAAGAACTTTTGAACG